TATATATATTATCAAAATAATAAATATAATAATAATAAATATAATTAATTAAATAATAAATATCATAAATATATCTCGGATAAAAACAACAAACCATCGATTATTAGAGAACCTTTCGTAACATCTATATCATTTTTCACGACACAATGATAGGTACCATGATCGTTCGACATAACTCGAAGTATCTTTAAACGCATTTTAAACTGTAAATCAATAGAGAAAAATCCTTATGACTCTATTAGATATATTTTTATATATGTTGATTTTATTTATTATATAATTACCTTGAAATCTCTTCTATCATAAATTTCCATACGATATTTATCGGACATTTTCAAACGACGACCATCCCCACGTTCCCAATGTACCGTTGGTTCTGGAAACGCTTCAATTTCGCATTCTAAAATAGCTGTACTTTGACTTCGTACGGGTATCATTTGATTTCGTATACGAATAAAGGGTGGAACTATAAATATTCAATGAAATTTACTTTTATTTTTCTTTTCTTTTTTTTTTTAAGAAATAAAATAGAAAATAAATAATATTTATATCGGATTAGATAGAATTTTGTTGAAGTTAGTTATATGTCCTGATTATTGTTTACTTTGTTCACTTGTCTGACGACTATATAAATTCTTTACTACTTAAAAACATTGATCGTAACTTAAATCCAATAAAATCTCACTTAAATATAGTTAATGTAATCGATAAAAATAAAATATAACTGTTTGTTAGACAGATTAGGCGAACGATGATCCTATTACATATTCTGAGATGAGAGTGAAGACAAATAGAATCGATATGGGATAGTGTATATAGATTATAATAACATATTTGAATTCAGAACACGTGCACGTTTATGGGAAATGTGTTCGTTATATGCAGGATATGTAAGCAGGGTGTATACATATGCATGAAATCGATAACATAGACTTATATCTGTCTGTGTGTATGTATACATAAATATGAAATATTAAATTCATTAATTTAGCTTTCAAGAGAGAGAAAATAATTATTTAGATTTATATTATTTTATATAAATTTCCTATATATATTTAATTAATTAATATTATTTAATGATATATATCATTAAATAATATTAATTAAT